CCATTTTCCCATTAATTTTTGCAATACCTATATTTTCATGAAGGGGGGACCCGGGAGGGTCACTATATACATGGCTAGAAAGGTATTCACGAGTACTATATTTTTGCTCTAGTGACTAATGCTCTACCTCCTATAGAGCAATGACCTTCGGTAGCCACATGAGATTTTCATATCCTCCCTATACATACGCCGATTTAGGGGGATCCGAGGGGGAGCGACACCTATACTATACTGTTTTGGAAAGGTGGCGACACAAGCTATTTAATGGCATATCAGCCGATTGATTTCTTGAGTATTCCTTCAACTTTAGTTGTTCCCAAATTTTTCATGACAGCGATTTCGGAAGCCATTTTAGATCGCAACATTTCGACCGATTCCAGTATTCTTACCAAATTTCGGAAAAAACTGATGATGAGGTTCTGTTTGGCTCGTCAATATCTACAACTTTTACCAAGACATTGACCATTGAAAAGGCATCCTGGGCCAGTTGCAGTGTAAAATGACCGGAAAAATGGCAATTTTCCGGCATTTTTTACATTTTTTGCTCCACGAGTCACCCAGACGGTGAACTTTCATTCAGGTTTTGACCTGTGTGGTGTAGCCAGAACCTGTACAAACATTTCGGTACTTGTCAGATTGCGATTTGGATGGAATTTGGCGACAATTGATCACAACCCCTGCACTACACTAACAAAACAAAGTAAAACACGAATTTGCGATGAGCGCATTCAGTGAAGTTCATTTCAATTCTTTATGTCGTAAGACGCACTCATGAATGCAACAAATTGAACGCATCAACAATGTTCCTTAATGAAATAAACATTTTTTACTTATAAAATTGATGTTTATCACGTGCTACGCTCTCACAAGAATCAATTTTGCACATTCGTGACATTTTTATTTTTTTTGTCTACTTTATTAACAAATATAAAAAAGATTCAATAATACATTGAACAATCTGTGTCACAACTTTTGACACTTGTCTCGTAGCGCTAGAAGTGAGCTGTCAGACGCTTAGATGCAGGACCTTCGCAATTGATTCACACATATAACACAAATTTCAGGCCAAAATTAGCAAATCACAAACATGGGCTTCGATTTGACAGGTAAAGGCAAATGATTTCTACCTTTTCTGCCTTTGAACATCTAGTATGATCCTTTACGAACATTTTGGATACTTATAGACCAAATCGAGTGATGTTTTTACATATTTCTGGCCGCATATTCGATTTCAACTCCCAAAAAATCGACTTTTGACGATAAATTTTGTTCGGGAGGTACCTTAAAAAGTCAATTTTGAGAGTTTTTGACAAATAAACTTTTTGTCTGGGTAGGCTCCACATATTTTCGAGAAAAAATAACTTTGCGCCAAGATATCATCCCTGAAAAGCCTATATTCAAGGATTTTTTGGCAAAAAGTCGATTTTTTTAGAGTTAAAATCGAACCAACCGAATATGCGGCCAGAAATATGTGAAAACATCACTCGATTTGGTCTATAAGTACCCAAAATATTCGTAAAGGATCATACTAGATGTTCAAAGCAGAAAAGGTAGAAATCATTGGCCTTTACCTGTCAAATCGAAGCTCATGTTTGTGATTTGCTCTATGGGTGAGATCGAGAGTGGATTAAGTATTTTTTGTCGACTTATTTTGAGAAAAAGACGAGTATGTTTTCTGATGATTCTGCTAGCGTTAAAGTAGAGTATGTTGGAGTACCGTCTAGCCTCCGCGGTCTTCACGGTTATCGCGCAACTGATAAGAGATAACAACAAGGTGCCCCCGGCACTGTTGTAGTACTCGAGGTCCTCTATAACATTGCTGAAGACAGGTACCTCTTATCTCTTATCAGTTGCGCGCAAAAGCAAATTTTATATAGAACTTTTTTTTTCTTATCATTTTTCGCACTTTTCGGGGAACTGATAAGAGATAAGAGATCACTGTCAGCAATGTCATAGAAGACCTCGAGTATTACAACTTTGCCGAAGACACTAAGTTGTTATCTGTTATCAGTTCCGCGGAAACCGTGAAAAACCGCTAGGACCCATCAAAAATGAACATACTCGCCTTTTAACCATTTTTAAGTCGAAAGAAACTTACTCTTCTCCTTCACAACAAAGTCAGTGAAACATACACCACTCTTGATCGCACCTATAGATGTGTGAATCAATTGTCGCCAAATTCCATCCAAATCGCAATCTGACAAGTACCGAAATGTTTGTACAGGTTCTGGCTACACGACACAGGTCAAAACCTGAATGAAAGTTCACCGCCTGGGTGACTCGTGGAGCAAAAAATGTAAAAAATACCGGAAAATTGCCATTTTTCCGGTCATTTTACACTGCAACTGGCCCATGATGCCTTTTCAATGGTCAATGTCTTGGTAAAAGTTGTAGATATTGACGAGCCAAACAGAACCTCATCATCAGTTTTTTCCGAAATTTGGTTAGAATACTGGAATCGGTCGAAATGTTGCGATCTAAAATGGCTTTCGAAATCGCTGTAATGAAAAATTTGATATGGGGCTTGCCATGGGTTTTTATATGGTACCCATATGCAATCTTTGCGCCAAACCTATTTTTTGAAGTATATTTTTCGAAACTGCCCAGGCCTTTTATATGAGGGACAACTGTTTTTTTTGGAGCAGTCTAACCAAATCCTTATTCCCATCGAGAAAGACTATTATAACTACAAATTATATGCTAATATTGTACAAAACCAAATTCAGCCAGTCATTGGCGGTGTTAAACAAAATGAAAATATTTGTGATGAAAAAATATAACTGTGATTTTTACACATTTTTTTTGTAATTATAGCAACATTGACTGTGATATAGCCATCCTTTGAGTTGGTGATTTTTTGACCTATTATTTGTATGTAATGGAAACTAGTTAAGTTTAGTCAATGTTCATGCGTAAATCAATTTAAATTGTTTGTATCTCTTGGTCTCGACATAAATTGTTAATTCAAAGCTACCAACAGGGACTCGTTTAGATTAGACTCAAAACTTGCCGCAATGCTAGAAAGAATTTGCGATTGTTTTTTTGTTTCTTTGGAATATTTTACTAATAAAATTTGACGTTTTTGTTGTTGCTCAACAGACATCGCAAACCATCCATCATTAACATTGGAGCTGCCAAACCAGCTGCAGATTCTCAAATTGGGATCAAGAGACATGTTGGATGTGCGGGCTCACGGAAATCGGTGAAGAGTTTCAAGAAAATGAAAGGCATTTTCATATGATTCGTGAATATCATCATTTCGATATGGTGTGTTGACACCATCAATGGTTACAGAATTTTCTACTCTTTAAACTGATACCCACCATCATCATTTTTTCTTTTCCAGATTTGAAAAACACCCTCTGTAGATTGTTACCGGGACACCACGTCGCAAACATGAGTTGTCTTCAATATCATCAATTCTGAAAAATGTGCATATGTAATATATTGTGAAAAATTTGTTGAAGTGTTGCTGGCTGAGAACTTACAATAGACTAGAATTATGCAACATTTGAACAATTTCCCCTATAGCCTTAAGTTTTTCGAGTGGTATGTTCATCCAATGATTGAATGCAATTGATAGTTTTGATCGAATATTTTTTCCGGGTAAATCTTTAATATATGTAAAAGGCTGGAGTAATATCTGTTTTGGAGAATTTCAATTGATGAAAACTAATTGAATTAATAATCAAGTTAAATTTTGTACTTGATCTTGCTCTGCTTGACTATTTTTTTTATTGTACTCCTCTAGAAGTCTAACCACATCTTCCATTGTGAATTCTTAGTAGGCACAAGTATTTGCAAAAGACGAAAAAAACATAAATAATGAAATTAATTTAACAGCAAAAAATCTTTTTTGAAAATTCAAAATTAAATGATAGCAATTGCACTCGCGATCATGCGAAGGAACATATGAATATTGACTACTGATTATTCTGTCAGTCGGTAGAACGGTATAGTTGAAAATGCACTGTAGTTAACCCAGTAGATTTGAAGTTATCTGGAATGAATTATGAACGAATTAATATTTGAATGGCAAAGTTTTTTTTTTCAACTTATTGCATCTAATTGCAATAATGGATTAAATGTACCCCATTGGATCCATTCTGATAAATTTATTACTGACTTGATCAGTTTTTAACAAAATAATCTTTTTTTGGACCTTTTCCTTTTTCTTCTGTCAAATTCGTCAACGAATGTTTTTTTCAGCAGTTGGTAGCACTTTGTTCCAAGCATTTCTGTGTTTTCGCATACGTAGCTATATCAATGAAATTTCATAGTTTCTTGAGTCAAAAATTTGAATTTGAAAGAAAATTTGGATTTGGTCATTCGTAAAATGGCGAGTTCATCATATCAAGGAAACAAAAGTTATAGCGATCGTGAAAGGTATTAGAATTTCCATATATACCAACAATTATTTCAATATTATAAATTTCATTATGCATTGAAAAAAGCGAACATCATTACGAACACAAAGGGAAACTGTGAAATTTTCTTGATGCAGGTGACCAAATCGCCAAAGAGATGTCGTGTATTAATATAATTCTTCAAAATTATATTGATATGGCGTCACACAGTGTCGAAAGAAGGAAAAAATTACACTTGTTATTGTCTACACTCTACATCACCTTATTGAGATTGTATATATGGTTAAAACTACAGTCAAAACCATCTGGGTTCATATTTTGCAACACATTCCCGGAAAGATTGTATTCGTTTTCATAATTGTTTCTTCGAACTTTTAGATGGATTTGTATCTATCCTGCCTATATTAATAGCAAGAAATCTCGGAAAGAAGGACGAAAGATTCAAAAAGACTTTTGTGTGGAAAATCCAACATACCAAGAAATTAAAGTATTTAATCCATTTATAATCCCATTATTAAATACAATTATCTTATTGGAACCAAAATAATGCGGCGCTTCTATCTCTCTAATTTCAATGTGTATCCTCTGTCTTAGGATGTTTTGTCAGTGTCAAATCTACGCATTGGAATTGAAAATAAGCAGTACCCTCGGGAGAAGAGCAAGGTAAAAATATTAAATTAGTTAAATTCGTTTACATACGAAATTCAAAACGACAAATTTATTTGATAATTTATGTTTTATGAATGTGTGTTCATTCCAAAGGAACTACATCACCGTGGTCGCATACGTGTTCAACTGAAAACCGATGATGGATCTCCATTTAATCCTGATTTTACTACTCGAGAGAGCATTTTACTTCATTTGGGTTGCAAAATACCATTGTTAAAAGTACGTCAGTCGGGTGGACATACAAACGATCATACAACTCATAATCAAAGTCACCAAACTAACTATGCGAAGAAAGGAAAGGGCAAGAAACGATAGATTTCATAGTTCGAATAGTGAATCGATGGAACACTAGAATTCTTGATTTTATGTTTTTTTAAATAAATTTTCAACAAACATAATATAACTATATTCTAGACATATCCAGAAGTTTCCGACTTATTTAAACAAAGCACAATTTTCCCTTTATTCGAAATAAATACAGTATAAGAACTTATTTACCGTAATAAGAGCAACAACAAATATTTTGGCTTCTTGAATAATGTATATTAGGGTGTTTTTGCCATCAAATAATAAAGAAATGGTAGTTCTGGATTGGAAGAGTGAACAATTCTGAGTCGATTGCATGTATTTTTACTTTAAAATAATCAAAGATACCACTTCCCGAGATCAAAACAGAAAATCATAGAATTTTGAGGTTATATCACTATTCGCTGAAACTAATCTGATATTTTCCATTTTTTCGATTCAATCTCACTGCCAGAGACGAGTTCTCAATGCAAACATTTATTATAACGAATGATATACACACTTCCCGAAGCAAAAAGAACTGTCTAATTTGAATTGTCTAATGTTTTCGGAACGCTACCCAGCATCTGCCAAATTCAAACATTTGAAATGACAACCATTCCAACTACTATGTGCCGAACGAACCGTATAAAGAAACTTCTAACAAGAACTTCGATTTGTGTATGTGTTTCGCATTAGGAGCGTGATTTTGGCACGAACTTCTCTTTCATCGCATACAACGCAACACAACACAACAGACTCATTATTGTTATGTTTGTTGCGTTTGTTTATTTGATCCCGTTATCCGAGCATGTATTGAGTTTTTATATCGGAACCGATTAAACATGAATTTCATCACGAAATGAGTAGAGTTGTTGCGGTACGGTATTTATGTCAAAACCATATTCAGCTGTCAAACGGGGGCCGGTTGATTCATATCGATCTGAGCATTTGAAAAGGCAAGTCATTTGTTGTGAATACTGTTCGATTTATAGTGATTGTTTTATTCGTTTTTTGTTCAAATTAAGTAATTTAGTTATTGTTTTTAGGTAGAAAATACATGATATCGAATTAGTTTTCCTCATTTTGATTTTTCGTACACAAAGCGGCTAACATTTTACCGTGCTTGCGATTTGTGTTCCGAAAACAATCAATCCAATTGTTTAAATGTCGAACAAATTACGACCTAAAATGATGATATAAAAATGAACATATAATATGATGAAATTTGTTCTTTTTTGTGAATCATAACGACTAATCCTCCTTGTGTTCCTTTTTTTGTTTATATTGTGTAATTTAGTCAGTGTTTAGTGAAAATTGTGCGCAATTTCTCATGAATTTGTTCAATTTTTTTTTATTTAATAGTTATTCATCTTGGCCCGTGGAGCCTGTGGAGCTCGCGGTGGAAGCGATGAGAGATTCACAACAGTGAAACTGGCTCTACGAACAATCATCCAAAAACCGTATCGGCTGATTTTGACAACAGTGATTGGGGAAATGAGCATCATGGCAACGCTAATCTCACTCCTGGCATCGCTCTATTTTCTATATCTGGTAAGTTTTTTTTTACATTTTCACTGTTTTCGCCATTTTGTACGACCATCTTGAACCGAT